CGCCCCGCCGCGCCCGGAGCCGCCGCCCCGCGCCCTCTATGGACGTCAAAGCGGCCCCTAACGGGGTGGCCACCATCGAGGACCGCATCCTGCGGATCACCGGCTACTATGGCTACTACCCGGGTTACTCCAGTCAGAAAAGTAAGACGCCGTGGGGCCGCCCTGCGCGAGGCGCGGATGGGAGGTGGGCGCTCACGGGTGCCACCAGGGTGCGAGAGGACTGGGGGTCCCGACACCTGCAGCCCTTGCCTGTGCTGTCACCGCCACCCTCCTGGCCTCGGGGACCACTGAGACAAAAAGTATATCTGCTGTCCTCGGTGCTGAACCTTGTGGAGCGACGGGGCTCAGCGGGTTGCGCCCAGGAGTTTGGGAACAGTCGCAGTCTTGGGGGCGGAGGTGCAGAGAGGATCTGGCAAGCTCTCTCGACCGCCGTTGGCCCGCTCGTCCCGGGCTGATTTACGCCTGGAGGAGGCTAACATGGCTGTTCAATTAGCGTCCAGTCAACCCTAGGGCTACACTCTCTGAAAGGCCCTACTGGGTGCCAGGGTGCGCACGGGGCGCTGGGGACTGAGACTGTGGAGAGACTTGGGGGTGGAGCTGGCGGGGGCGACCGACCCAGACGTGGGTCCCCCCGGCCAGCTGGGTCAGCTTGCCCACTCTGGGCTGTTGAGATGTTGCCAGCGCGGGAATTAATACCTATAAAACGTTTGGGGAGGTTCTGAACTCTGGATAAATCTAAGAGCTTGCTCAGGTCCCCGAGTCCTGAAGCTTTGAGGGAGGGACCCATCCATGCAAACGGCAGAGGGTGGGTGGGAGAGGGAGGCACGACACGGCCAACCGCCCCCGCCGCACGTCGCGGCCACTTCGGAGCCCTAGGAGGCTGTTCTGTTCTGTACCAGCTTTCTTCCGGTTAAGCGAGGCCATGCGGCGCGTTTGCTTTCACATTTCAGGAGTTTTTTGTGTGTAGGGGATGCTAGGAGGGGTTCACTTTTCGCATTCCCCTTCCCCCAGCATAAAAACCCACTGGCTGTATTTGCTGGGATTAGTTCTACGAGGCACCGAAATGAAGCTCTTTCTCCTCTCAACTGGGGGAGTAGCTACGGTTTAATTTTCATGCAGGTGGGATTTTGCTTTTTATTTATCAATGCGTTTCTGTCGCAATAGGTAGATCTTAATTGATGTTTTTACTGTTATTTTTAACCAGAAGCTTGGGAAGCTCCCAGACGCATTTCTGATTGGTATTTTTCTGTGACATTTCGGTGTGGCATCAACATTACATGTTCCGTGAAACTGTGGACTCACGCAAATCCTGACACATAGAGGAGAAAACACTTCATTTTTCATGTAACTTTCTATGCTTGCTCTTGAATAATAACTCAAGAGCTTTATTCCACGGGCCATTCTCACACAGCTATTTTCTAGTTTAATATTTCATTTGGTTTCAGGAAAGGCCTATCTGCTTTGGATGGTTTCTGTCTAGCTGTTTTTAGCAGTAGAGGCTTACATTATTCATTTTTCCATACAAAAGTAATTATATAGTGCTAGAATTTTCTGGAAAGAAAATAACATGCTGTAGAAAGCTCTTTGAAGTCTTTGTACTATAGCCTCAGAATTTTCTTTTCCCTCCCCCCGACATTGGCAAAGGGTTTCTTCTTTAACCCTAGAAATTTAAGTGAAAATATTGATATATCTTGTGGAAATTACCTGAATTTCACCTTTGAATATTTTAATTAGGAACTATCAAATTTTGGTCACCAAATGAATATAGAATCCATCCATAAAGTTACAAGACTTAGGGTGCTTTATTATTAAAATTTTTATGACAATGGGACTTTAGTTAACGAAGAACAAACCAGAAAGAATTCTGGAAAAGTGACATTTTAGATAAGGACATGTTCATATTATATTTTTGTACTTGCTCAAATAGCTGCACATGTTTCATTTGCAATACAATAACAGGACAGAAAAGGAAAGAACATTGACCAAGGCTGTAACTGGAAGCTAAAAGGAATAAAGATGCACTTGGCACGGTTATTTGTGATGTACATTTGTAAATTCAGGCCACAGAGTTCGAACAGTGAAGGCAGAGAAGAATCTCACAAGAACAAGGAATTAAGGGATAGTCAAATAATTCTCAGGACATTCATGCTTTCAGAGGCAGAGAGACAAAGATTGCCATTTTACACAGTGAGAGACTGGGAGAGAGAGAGTTGGAAGAGGGCCAGGCAACCAAGCACCATGAAATAATCCTGCCCTTAATGCAGGCTTCAACTAGTAAACAAACACATTGAAGCAAACCAGTGCAATATGGTCAATTGATTTAGCTGTTACCAGGAATGAGCAACAGCTTGGAGAAGGTCTGGAGCAATATATTCAGGAAAAAAGCTAGAGTGGCAGATATATACTATGTGAAGGCAAGGTGACATTTCCACTTCCTGACTGATCACATATGAGATCTTCAGGAGGGATGATCTCTTGATATTGGTGTCACTTACCGTTTTGGAGGTAGGTGGGGAATCATGTCTGAGATGCATTGGAGACTAGCCTCATGTTAATGTATCTTGCTTCCAAGCTTGTACATTGTCCAGAACAAACTGTAGTCATCAGGCTGAAGAATAAAGAAATGAAATAGGATTCAGAGACATGGAGAAAATTTTATGGGCTATGCAGCCACTTTTTTAAATATTCTGTTCAACTTAGCAATTGAGCATGAGTATAGATATAAGAAAAAGGGTACAAAGATGACCAAAGCATAGTGACTGGCCTTGAGTTACTTGTGTTCTGGAAGAAAATAGATTAATTTGCTCAACATGTATTAATTGAGCACCTCCTATATGCCAGGAATATATCTATGAACAAAACAAATGAAAGTATTTTCCTTTTTAGAGTTCAAACTCTAGTGAGAAGAAACAAGATAATAAACAAAGTTTTATTTTCAAGGTGATACATGATATTTTTAAAAATTGCAAAAGAATAGACAGGATAAAAATTCCAGGTGTTAGATATTGTCACAATTTTAAATAGGGTGTCAGGTAAGACCTCATGGAGGAAGTAACATTTGAGCCATGAAAGACCTGAAGGATGTAAGGGTGTTAGTCATGTGGATGTCAGAAGGAAGGTATTCTAGGTAGTGGGATCAGCCAGTGCCAAGATCTGAGTTTTAGTGTACCTGACACACCAAGAAAGAACAAGGAAGCCTACATGGCGAAGCAGAATGAACAACAGGGAAAGTGACTGGAGGTGAGGTTATTGAGGATACAGGGACTTGGATAAAGTCAGGCGTTATAGTTTATCTTAAGTCATTTGGCTTATACTCTGAAAGGAATGGAGCTTTGCAGGGTTTTGAAAGAACAGTATTATGACTTTAATTAATTTTCTAAGGGATCAGCCTGACTGCTCTATTGTACCAGGGGTGGAAATGCCTTGTTAGAATGCTACTGCAATAACCTGGGTGAGAGAAGATGATGGCATGAGCTTGAGTGATAGCAGTGGAAGTGGTGATAGGTGGTCGGATTCTGTATGTATTTGAACTTAGAGTCAATAGGGTTCCTTGATGAACTGGATATGGTATTGGCAAGAAAGAGGAATAAAAATTGACTCCAGTTTTCTGATTTGACCAAGTTTGAATTGCTGTTGGCAAAAGTATGGAAGTCTTCAAGGTAGAGAAGTTTGGGAGCAGGGGGCAGAGGAAAAGGATATTGTAGTAATGTTAAATGTATTGGAGATGTAAGCTTGGAGTTTGGAGATGACCAACTGGAGATATAGATTAGGAATCTGCCAACATTTGGATGGTACTTAAGGCTGGATGAAATCACCAAGGAACAAATATGTGTAGCAAAGAGAACAAGGACTGAACTCTGGGACACTTGACATTAAGAGGTTGGGAAGAAGAGAAGAAACCATTGACAGAGACTAGGAAGGATCTCCCAGGTAGGTAGGGGGGAAACCATGAGCATGTGATGCTCTGAAGCCAGTGAAGAAAAGGGATTAGCTGAGTCCAGTGGTGTTTAAAGGTCAAGTACAATAAAGTCTGATAACTGAGCTTGAGTTTGGAAATTGAGGGTCATTGATGATTTTGACAGGAACATTGGCAAGAGCAGGTAAGATGGGAAGACATGGATTAGAATGTATATAAGAGATAATTGGGGGAGAAATTGAAAAATGAGTATAGACGACTCTTCAAGGATTTTTAAGCAAAATGTGCACAGGGGAAGAGAAGAAATGAAGGTAGTAGGGCTAAGAAAAATTTTTTTCTCTTAAAGATGGGAGAAATAACAATGTTTGCATGTAAAGGAGAATGACTCAATAGAGAATTAAAATTAATGATGTTGGAGAGATAGGATATAGAATCTAGTGCATAAGAGAAGGGACATCACTTTAGATAGGCCAAAGTGTGTGGGGCAGGCCCTGTAAGGTGAGTAACTGAGATGGGGGAGTCTGTTGAGGGTCTCTTCTGGTTGTTTTAGCTTCCTCCAAATAGGAAGCAAAGCTATCAACCAAGAGTGAGAGGATGGGGGAGGAGATGGCAGAGATTGGAGAAAGAAGGTGTATATATTTAAAACAAAAGGGGAGGAGAAATGGGCTGGGGAAATACAAAGGTTCTCTCTCTGGCAACCTTAAAGCTCACTAGAGTTTCCGGTCACAAATTCAAAGTAAGACTGGTCAATAGATTGCTTTATTCATTGACACAACAAAGACCTGGAGCAAGTGGAGACAAGGATTTGTCTCAATCAGAGTTGCAGATTATTTTATGAGTGTAATAAAATAATAGAGGCAAAGGAGTTGTATATAAAGAGGACATTGTTATAATGATTGACCTTTGGATTTAAACTTGGTATAAGCAGAGTAGACAGAAAATCAAGGTTGTTAGGGAAAGTGGAAAGGTGATATGATCAATGGGTTGCAAGTTTCAGTAGGATCAAAGACTAGTGCAAGTCAACTGGAAATATAAGAGATGGTGATTAGTTTGAGGGTTGTTATGATATGAAATTAATTTCCATAAGTCAAGAGAAAGGATAAATTCACTTGTTTTACTACATTCTTTACTGATTTTTTTTTTGAGTGAGCCTTGTGTGTGTGTGTGTTTGTATGAGGAGGCAGTGTAATGAATTAAATCCTACCGATCAACTTCAGTGACTGGTTTTCTGTGGTTGTTTTCTAAACAACTCTTGCTCTGATACTTGCTCTGACCACCTCCTTTCCAAAAAAAGAACTCCACTTGCTTTAGAAGAAAGGAATTTATACTTATTATGAAGAAGTGATAAAAGTTTATGGTGAACACTACACAATATAAACATGAATCAAAATATCCCATTGTACTTCATAAATATGTACAAATAGTATGTGTCAATCAAAAATTGAACTCTACCCACTTCTGGTTCTTTTGCTTTCTAAGTGCACTGATGGCTGTTATGATTTAGCATTTCTCAAGTTCTGCCCTCTGCTTGCCCCAAATGAGCTCATTCAATCCCACAGCTTTACTATTTTCTATGTGCCTATATTTCTTGGTTCAGTTTTTCTGAGCTCAGACTCATGTTTCAAGCCTCCTGCTAGCATTTCTACCTGAATATCCTGTAAAGATATCACACATTAAACCAAATTCATCATTCTGTCCCTAAGACATGCCCTTTCCTTTTTCTTTTATTTTCTATCTTTTGAAATCTGTATCCAACCAGTTGCCCATGCCAGAAAGCCTGGAGTTATTTTTATCCTCAACCTCTGCTCTTTTCTCTTGTTTTGTTTTCAGTTAACAAGTCCTGTCTCTATCTCTCTCCCAGGTATGTGCTTTCCATCCCTCTTGTCACTTCATTAATTTTATGTATCATATCTTATGCCCAGCCTCAAGTCTTTCCAATCCCATAGTTATGCATTAATAACATTTACTCCCTTAAAGTGCAAATCTGTTCATTTCCCATTCCTGTTCAAAAGCCTGGAATAACTTTTCATTTTCTGTGAAATGAAATCCACATTTCCAGGCATGGCACTATCTGAGCCCAACTTACATTATTCTATTTTAGCACACACATCCCTTTCCACCCCTAATTGCCAATAATGCGTGCTTAATGAAGAAAATCTGGAAGGCAGGGACACAAAGAGAGATTAAAACAAAATTCATAATATCATCTCTCAGAGGTGATTAGTGTTAACAGTTTTGTATATATTATTTCAGTCTTTTTGCATATCCATAGACTTATGCCCATTATTTTAATTTTTTAATGAAACATGTCTCTACTTCATCTATATATTTTAATAACAATTTTAATGGGTGCATAATCTTTCATATATACAACCACCTTACTCTATGTAAACAATCACTAGCTATTGGATTTTTTAAAAAAATATAACTCTTCTAATCTCATATCCCATATGGTCTCCACATACCCTGGTCATAGTCTTATCAGCAAGCAGCTCATTAACTTAATGACATTACAGTCTTCATGTTTGGTGCCCAAATGCTCCCTCTCTCAGGGTCTCCTTCTTTCTGTAGAAAGTTCCTGTTTATCTTTAAAGGCTCAGTTTAAATGTGCTGTCCTCTGCAAAGCTTCTGATTACCCTGGGCTGGGTTAACCGTCCCCTCCTCTGTGCTCCTGTAATGCTGTGAACTCACCTTGGATTCAACATTTAGCACACAATTTTAGGCTGTTTGCCTTGCACAAGACCGTCTGACCTACAGAGCCTGGGAAGGTCAGGGACTAATCATTGTTTATTTTCACTTTAGGAAAACTATCTGGTACATTTAGGTGCCCCAGTCAAGTTTGTTTTACTAATCATTGAATGATTTCAGTTTCTTTTACAGAAATTGGAGACTTAATTACTTTCATTAGAGTAAAAATAAAAAGTATATGATAGTAATGACTGGAAGGAGAGAAAAAATTACCAGCTATGAATGAATCAAACAGATGATCCTATTCAGAGAATGAGAATACACCAAATAGTATTTTATGATCATTTTATGTGACTGGTTGTAACTTTTGCTTTTATGCGTCCTTATTTACTTCTTAAGATTTTCTGTGTTTGAGGACAAAAAAAGGCAATTTTTAAGAATACAAAGTAGTATAAATTTACTACAACCATAAGAAAATAATGTGGTTTTGTCCCCTTTCTCTTTTGTATTGGTCTTCATGACACAATATTAATATAAATATTAATATAAATATTAAGCTCTCTAACTGGGGTAAATTATAATTATAGTGCATTATAGCAAATTAATACAATGAATATATATTCTTGTTCATAGTCTGTATATTTCCTGAAAATAAACTTCATGCTTTTTTATACATAGTAGATAGTATTTTGTAAACAGTTATAAATAAGAATCATTGATACATTGTTTAATGTATCAAACTAATAATTTAGTTTTAAATTAGGACATATGTGCCCTATGTTGATACTAAATATCATTGTATATATTATGCATGTTTTTGCAATGTTTATTCTGATGTGTATTTTGCATTTAAAATAGAAATTTACAATAAACTGTATATTTGTATTATAAACTACTACTATTAGCTAACACTTGGGTTTACATTAAGTTTCAGACATACTTTCTCTGGAGGACTGGGGGTGTGGCTCAGTGGTAGAGCACTTGTCTAGTATGCATGAAGCCCT